TATATATATTTTCACTGCAAAAGGTTTTACTATTTTTGAGGGGGAGGCAAAAAAAATTACACAAACCAGTGGATTGAGATTAAAAGAAAAATACAGTCTAAATATTAATGACAGCAACAAGATTAGTATCCAATATATTCTTTCATGGAACAGAAAAGAGAGAAAGCAATTCCATAGAAATGGGGAAAGGACATATATAATCAAACTATAAAAAACAATGAAAAAGGTTTACAAATTTATGAGAAGATACGTCAACTCTACTAGACAAGAAAATGCAATTTAAAATCGCTGCGGTGTGCTACTATCTGACTGACATACTTGTAAAATATTACCACATTTCCTGGTGGAAGTGCTGAGAGAGAGAAAGGTAATTTCACCATGCCTGTGGTGATGTAATTACAGTTTTTGCAAAAACCATTTGATATTAAACAAATACCACTTTCTTTAAATTTATTCTTTTGAAATAAATTGGCGTATCAAGATGTATGCACTGGGGCTGGAGAGATGGCTCAGTGGAATAAGCGCTTCCCTGGCAAGCGCAAGGGTCTGAGTTCAATCCCCGGTTCTGAAAAAAAAAAAAGATGTATGCACAATAATAATATTTTTAGCATGGTTTTTGGTGATTAAAAATCTAAAAAATAGTGAATCCACTAATAGTGAAGTGCTTGGGCATAACATGATCCATCCACAGACCAGGATATGGAAGATACTTCAACAATGCGTGTGACTTGTATGTATTTCCACTAGCAGACCAGACCATTCCTCTAGCTCAGGAGAGCACCCTGCACCCTGCCTGCTCAAAACACCCATCATCTCTGCTCTTATTGCAGTTTTTTCGGTTCCATATTTTCCTTGCTCCAGTCAAAATGTACCTGGATTGTAGAGTTAAGTTTATGGTTATGAATAAAACTAAATAACGGTTAAAAAAACAAACTTTTTAAAAAAATTAATTTTATTGAGAAACAAATAGCAATGAGACAGTTTCAAAACCAATTAGTAGGATAGTTTCAATAATTAATACATTGCAAATTGTTGTCTTTGTAGCAGTTATTCATAGTACAAGATGCAGACATGATATTCTGTCCAAAAAGTATTAGTACAAATCTTTCTTCTCATTGAATTAAGAGAAAGTAGCTGTATATCTATTCTAACTATTTTCTATGTATAGATACAAAATGGTCCTTCATAACCATTTCTTTTTTTTCATAATTTTATTGATAAACAAATAGCAATGAGACAGTTTCAAATCAAATCACTAGGACAGTTTCAATAATTAACACACTGCATACATTCTTCTTAGTGGTTAATTGTTGTATAAGATGCAGACTTGAGATCCTATTTACAAACACCATTAGAACAAATCATTCTATTCATTAAGAGAATGTAACTATATATCTATCCTAACCACTTTGAATACACAGATACAAAATGGACATTCATCTGTATACCCTTTTTTAGTTAAGTTCCATCATTTGAATATTATAGGTGTGTAAACTCAGCAAAATATTCTAAAAGAGTCCAGTAGTCCATAATAGCATTGGGTCCAGGTCTATGCACTAAAGTAAAGTCAAAATGGATTAAAGATCTAAACATTAAAGCAGAGACACTAAATTTCCTGGAAGAGAAAGTAGGAGGAACTCTTGAAGACAAATTTTTTAACTAACAATAGTTAGAGATCAAAAATCTGTACTTTGTGCATCAAGTGTGAAGCCTCAACAAATGTGCTTGAGTACATAAGAAACTAGGAGAATATGGGCACGTGCATGGCGGGATATACACATGAGATGGCTTGGGAGGGATGGTGGCAGACAAGGAAAAGTTAGCAGGAAGAAGAAAGGTAAGGGGAAGTGATTGGAAATCAACTGCATAAAGTCCTGCATCATCATAGAGGGCAAGACATAAAATTGCATGTGTGTGAGGACATGCACATAGAATTTTTGGAAGATATTTTATACATCATTTCCTATGTTAACAGGTATTTACAAATTAAAGAAGCTCATTGCCAAATTGAAACATGGAAAGTTTTCTGTTTTATCTATGCTAGGGGATGTATAATTCCTGAGGTAAAATTTGAATACAGTGTCAGCTCTAAAAGTATGAGTGTAAAAACACCTCCATTGATGTAGAAGCAATTTAAAAACAAATCTGTGTTTCCTAAAGGATTTTAATTACAGAGAGATTTCTGAGAAAGCTTCACAATTAAATCCCAGAGAACTTGATGCTTAGGATAAAATGATCTACAAAATGATACTTGTTTAATTGATAGAAAAGAATACTTCTTGGGCTTTGTTTTTGTAATTTAATTATCACAGCTGGGAAAATCCTAATTAAAAATCATGGTCTTTAACTCTCAGAGCGACTCAAAGACTGATTTATAAATGTTCTGAGCTGTTCTTTGCACAAGAGGAGTGAGCTTTGGTTTATAGCTATTTCATCCTGAAGCAACAAAACCGTTTCTCTTTGGGGAATGGTAGCAGATAAAACCAAAAGAACAGTCCTGAAGACTCCAGAAATAAGGAGGGTGAGCACTGAGTCCTCACACTGTCAGGTCCTGTGAACGTTTCTGCTTTTCTGAGGAAAGAAGAAAGAAGAAGTTCTGCTGAGATGACAGAATTTGCAGGGCATCCAATTTCTTTGTTCTCTAACAAGTTTCTTGTGGAGGACACAGTGTTTCCGAGGCTCATTTAATGACTTTCTTGCTATGCATGCTTGGAAGGCAAAGACAATCTGTGTCTGTTTCCTTAAGTCTGCAGTGGACTTAGTGCCAAGGCGTCCAGGCTGCTCTCAGCTCAGGGAGCCAGAGTGTGAAGAGTAAAGATTAACAAACATAAACTGGAGGAGACGTTAGCCACAAACAAGCAGAAAAAACAGACTCTGCACTGCTACGCCTCTTTACACATTTCTCCAGTGTGGTAACATGTGCTTCCATCGCCCTTGCAACCACTTGTCTTGTACCAGCAGTGCCAAATCTAGCTTCCTAGAAAAGAAACTAAACCTTTGTGGAATCTCTGGACTCCTTGGATCCAGAAGCCAATGGGCAGAGTGCTACAAGGCAAATTTGGATCCTGCCTCAAATATAACTCCACTTTCTTGTGTTTCAGATCCTGTTTGAAGAGAATGGACATTGGAAACAGTTCCTTGGTTACTGAGTTTATCCTGGTGGGTTTAACAGAACATTCAGAGACAAAGCTCCCTTTCTTCTGCCTTTTCCTAGGAATCTGCATTGTCACTGTGGCAGGAAACCTGGGCTTACTCACTCTGATCAGATTGAATTCTCACCTTCACACTCCCATGTACTATTTCCTTTTCAATTTATCATTTGTTGACCTCTGTTACTCTTCTGTTATTACCCCCAAACTGTTGGTAAACTTTGTGTCAAAGATCAATACCATTTCCTATGAAGGATGCATGACGCAACTCTTTTTTTACTGTTTCTTTGTCAGTGCAGAATGTTATGTGTTGACAGTCATGGCCTATGATCGCTATGTGGCCATCTGCAAGCCCCTGCTATACACAGTGACCATGTCACCTTGCGTCTGCTCCCTGTTGGCTGTGATTGTGTATGTGGGTGCATTCGTTGGTGCCTGGGCTCACACAGGGTGCATGCTGAGGTTGACTTTCTGTGAAGCCAACACCATCAACCACTACATGTGTGACATCCTTCCCCTGCTGGAACTCTCTTGCACCAGCACTCAGGTCAATGAGCTGGTGGTGTTCATTGTTGTAGGCTTTGATGTGGGTGTGCCCAGCCTCACTATAATTGTGTCCTATACATTCATCCTCACTAGCATTCTTCGCATCCATTCTACTGAAGGAAGATTTAAAGCCTTTAGCACTTGCAGTTCACATATAATTGTTGTTTCTGTTTTCTTTGGGTCAGGGACATTCATGTACCTTCATCCTTCTTCTGTCTTGTCTATGGACCAGGGGAAAGTGTCTACTGTGTTCTATACCATTGTGGTACCCATGCTCAACCCGCTCATCTACAGCTTCAGGAACAGGGAGGTTAAAGTTGCCCTGAAAAAAACCGTTAGTAGGAAAATATCCTCCATCTGAGAACAGTGTCATTTGTCATACAAGAATACAGATTTCCCTCTTCTCACATACCAGCACAGAATTTTCTCACATGAAAAAATGAGGAATAAAAGAAAGAAGGTTGGCCTTGGATTCAGAAAGCTGGATTGAAAACCCTGAACAATAAAGACATTTCACTATTTAATAAGATTAGTACATTAAGTTAATGCACATTAAATAGTGTAGCCCAGAGCTGAGGCCTCATGATTATGAGATTTATCATCTCATTCTTTCCTTTTTTTTTCTTTCCTCTTTCCCTCTCTCATTTTTCTGCTTATATTTTACAGAGAATTTTACACCTTAAAAAACAGATTTACTAGTTCATTATCAATTATGTAAAGAATTCCTTCTTGGATAAATTCAGCATTCACATCTAAGCTTTGCCTATATAAAACTTGCTGTTACAATGAAAACATAGTCACTTACCTAATTGCTAAAACTTCAAATAGGATCCTCTTTCATTACTCTTTTTACTCATTACCACTCACATGATTTCCCCAGCACTCAGTGCCCTGATTATGGAGAAATTCTAGAACGTTCCCTCGCAGTGTGCTTCTCCTAGTATCACCTGGTGCCATGATTATACCTCCCATGGACCTGTCTTTCTTGTGTGAGCAGACCCAATGCAGCTGTGACAGTCAGCACTGTGCCCACCGCCACCCCTTAGCTGACAATACCATCATCTTTCTGCTTGTTTGCCTTGCTCAGCTTGCCCATCTGGCAGATCTGAGGTCATCACAGTCTCTGGGAAGACTTTCAACACTGAAGGACAATGTCAGATGACTTTGGGGTATGTTCTTATGGCATTCTGTGCTTACACAATAGGACACAGCTTCATTGCATCAAAAGCCCTTTCCCCTTGAATGTACCCTCCACTAGACCATGGGTGAAAATTATGTGTTTCCTCCATCTCTTATCCCCATTGCATGGTTTCAATTCCCTGGTAAAGCAAAACTCAATAAATATTACAATTATCCCATAATCTGATCCTGTTTACTTAATTCCAAGAAAATTCTAAGACATTCATTTCAAGAAATGCATTACATAAGGAAGACCTATCTAACCTGGCTTTTGAAAATAATGAAAGAATCA